CAGCTCCTTTGTGGCTCCGGGCAGGTCACGGCCGCCGTATCCCACCGTGGCACCCTCGGTCTGTGAAATTCCCGGTAAGTCCTTTGTTACCGTGCGCGGGGGAAGGTTGCCGGGGGCTGCTGACAGTTTGTGACCTTAAAAACGCACCTTCAATAGGAGGTGGGTAATTAACACAATGGCTCCCCCAACATAATGGGATGAAAACCCAACCTGGAGCCGCTACGCGCATTTCCATAGATATTAAATGGGTTTATATCCCTGTAGGATATTCCGGAGTTTAAAATGCAGCGTGCTTGGGAGGGGAGTAAACAAATTGAAATGCGATTGATGGGGCTCCGGTAGTGGATCAACAGTTCCAGCATTTAATGCATTTTGGCTTTTAAGCAGATTACGTGCTGCATCTGCGCTGCGCGACCCGAAAAGTAGCGCAGGTACCGCGGCCGGTGGGTTTGCCATGACTGCTCAGTCCTGGCATTGTGGCCGGGAAGGGATTACGGCTCTCAGCGCTTCGGATACAAAAGCGTTCCCCGCTAAATCGCGCTAATGACTTTTCCCGGGTGCGCGCAGCATCTTTATTTAAATATAAATATTGGCAGCTACTTTGGGGGCGAACTTTGCCGGAGGGAGAGGTGGGCTGGGAGGTGGCGGCTCTCTTTCCTTCCTTATTTCCTTCCTCCCTTCCTTATTTCCTCCCTTCCTTCCTCCCTTCCCCGCCGTTCCGCCTGGCCGGTGCTTGTGCCCGGGTGCGGAGATGGAGAGGGAGCGCTGGGGATTGACTTCTGTCCAGGCAGCAGGATCGCGTTGGGAAAGGTGACCTTGTGCCAGCTTGGCCTAATGCCCTCCATTAAGAAAAAAAAACAAAATAAAAAAAAAAAAGAGAGGAAAGAAAAAAAAAAAGAAAGGAAGGCAAGCAATCAATTTATAATTCTTCCATCAATTTATAATTCTTCTTCCAAGAGCTTTCCTCCCCCCCCCCTTTTTTTTCTTTTTTTCTCCTTCCCTTTTAATGGATGTGTCTGAGCAGCTCTGGTGGCCTGGGGCTGGCCGGGAATGGCAGAGTTGTTTGAGCCGCCCTGATGAATGGTGGGCATATGGAAAACGCAGGGATAATGTGGCACTCGGCAGCGCTCGGATCGAAACGGCGCTGAGCCCTTTTACGGCGGAGAGGCGCGGAAATGAGGAGAGATAAAATTCTATCAAAGATAATGCCAGGCGTATTTCACCGGGTTATGAGATTGGTTTATTGTGTACATTACTAATGCAGTATTTTTTTACAGCTTTTCTCGCGTGCGATAGGCAGAGCGGGATTCGTACCTTCGTGGGGTTTTTGGGGTTTAATTTGCTTGGGGTTTATCGCGTTCTGCTTGGCACAGTGTGGATTTATGGGATGCTCCTTGCGCTGGATGCTGCTGCTCCAATCCAACCCGTTCTGCCTTAAAAACGGCAAAAAAAACGGGCAAGAGTTTTGAGCTGCTGATTTGGGGTAATAAATACAACGGGCGGGCGAGAGCGATTAGAGCCATCTTTTATAAATGTCTTCACATCTCATTATGCAGATGAGCTCCGGCTACACGGCTCCGAGCCTTTGGTTCTCGTCAAATAAAATGTTCTTGGGTTGATTTCCAGCAATGCAAATGCTCTCTCCCTGTGCTGGAGTTGGGCACAAACTTCGGCGGCTCTGCCGGGTGTGGAGAGCTCCGAGCCTGCTCTGGTTCATGAAATGTTTTTGCTGTTTAAAAGTTTAGGGGAGAGAAAAAAAAAAAAACCAAAAAAAAAAACCCCACCCCACAACTGTGGATGTGATTAAAATATTATAACCTTATGATATTCTGAAGTGCATAAATTTTACATATCAGCTACAGAGGGAGTTTAGACATCCATTAAATGATATGACAGCTTGACTTATCTAAATGTGCATCATTTAACAATGTGTCAAAATTCTGCTTTATATAGACGACAGCAGTAAATAAGCTATCAGTCCTCTTGGCTGGAGCTTAATTCCTGGAGCTTGGACTAATAAACTCAGCTGCATTCTTGTGCAGCAGCAGGAGAAACCTGGGGGGAGCCTGAGGTGCTTCTGGGGCAGCTTCCCCTCTGTGAATAAATACCCCTGGTCCTCTGGGTTTTGGGGGCTCTTATGGAGAGACTGCAGGGATATTCCAGTTTAGTCCAGCATCTCCAGCATCCAACATTTTCCATCTCCATCCCTGCTGGAAGGTGGGATGCTGGCTGTGCCCAGGGGAAAGCGTGGGGAGCCCAAGGAAGCTCTGGGTGCCCCCATCTCAGAGGGGTTTTTGCCTTCCCCAGCTGAAATCTCCGGATTTGTGGAAGTGCAGCTTGTGCCCAGGGGCTGGCTGGGAAGCCTGGGAATGCAGTTTGTGCTTTCCAGTGGCTCCAGCTGCTCCTGGTGCAGCGGGGCGTGGGGAGCGCTGGCTGCGGAATCATCTGCTTTGAACAATTAATCTGAGTTTGGGCAGATGTCTGCCTCATGCTTGGCTTGGCTGCTGCCTGATGGCTCTGTGCTCCTCCTGGGCGCTTCCCCTGACCACAGCTCCTCAGGTGGCTCCTCTGCAGGGCTGTGCCCCCTTGGTGGGGACACAAGTGACGCCGCTGTGCTTTATCCAGGAGCTCTGTGTCCTTGGGGATGCAGGGCTGGAAGTGCAGGGAGCTCCAGCTGAGCTGGGCACTGAAATGCTGATGATGCCCCAGCACAGTTCAAATCCTACAAATCCTGTAGCACTTGGTCATGTTGGTCATGGGAGGACTCAGTGTCCTGGAATGTCACTGTCCTCGACCACCTTGTGGTGTCCCCTTCCTCAGTTTCCTCCTTGATGATCCATCCCACCCCCCAAATCCTTCATTAATTCCTGATATTTCTACTATTTCCAGTTTATATGTGAGGAGAAGGAGGAGATGTGCCATGTTTCTGGTCCCACCTGCTCTGGGGTCACTGTTGAGCATCGCTGGAAAGTCAGGCTGGAGTTCCTGAAGTGAAATCTGATTTTTTTTTTCTTTTAATTTTTTTTTTTTCTGGCTGAATAATTGAGATGCTGCCAGACAAGAAGAGCTGCAGAAAATGAGAGTTTATCTTTAGCACCACAGTTCTCACTTTAGAAACTGGTGACCCCAATTCCAGCCTGGAGAGTGACTTCTTCCCTAATTAATAAATCCATTAATTAATTGTGTGCGTGCTGCAGCCCATTAGAGATGTACATGCTGGCCTCCTGATCCAGTTTAGTGGATTGTCTCTGTGGCCTTGGAAGCAGGGGGGGAAAAAGGGATTGTGACCACCAGGCAGCTAGGGGGACGGGGATGGAAATATAATTTGATTTTTTTGTGGGGCTGCAGGGATGAGCAGCTCCTGGTGGGTGTTCCAGCTCAGTGTGGGATTGAATGGGGTGCCCAGGGCTGCTGTGCCCACCGAAATGGGGGTCAGCACTGAGGGCTGGGGGTCCTGGGGTGCCTTGTGTGGATGGGGAGCAGGGAGGCACCCCCAGGGCTGGGGGGAGAGGAATGTTCAAGCCTTTGGGTGATGTGAATTGTTATTTATGACCAGCTTAGGAAGCAGTGCACTCCCAGCCCTGCCAATCCTTCAGGAGGCTCTTGCTGAACTGGAAATCCTCAGCAGAGCCTGCGGAGCTCGGGGTGCATCTCCCTCCCTGTGCTCCCTCCCTCAGTTAATTTTTCTTGCTGTCTGCAGAGACCTGGGATGAAAATTCAGGCAAATTGTTGTGTGTGCTGGTCCCAGGGCTCCTGTTTTCTCTGCTGAATGGGAAGCTGGCTGCTGGCAAAAGAATCATCATCTTTAAATGCAGGAGGCTTGGCTTGCCTGTGGATTTTGGGGGCTCCAGGGGCCCCCTTCTCCCCCATTTTCCACTCCTGCTTTTGCTGGCTGGAGAAAATTGTTCTATTTGGGTTCCCAGAGGTGGCTGCATGTCCCAGGGGACAGCAGTGCTGCTTCTCCTCTCCTCCCTTGAGTGCTGCTGTAATCATGGTGCCACATCCCTGGCCGCAGGAATTCCCACATCCCGAATTTCAGGGAATTATCCTGGGAGCTGCCAACAAAAACGCAGCAAATTGAAATTACAGGGCCGTTGTTTGCAGGGAGGGGAAGGTGAGCAGCAGCATCCTGCTCCTCAGCATGCCTTGGAATGGGTTTTATTTAGGATTTTAAAGCCATGGGTGTGTGCTCCCTCAAGACAGAACCCACAGTGTAGCACATTCCCACTCTCTGGAATTGGGAAAGGCACATCAGAGACATCCACTGCCCCCCAAATGCCTGGGTGAAGTTTCTCAGAACATTTTGTACCGTCCTGCTCCTATTACCGAAAGATGTAATTCCCCAACTTGGGAGATAATAAGCAGGTATTGACTTCTGCTGGGGTCATTATCAAGATTTATTCAGTCAATATGGCTCCTTGGGTCAATAAATCTTGAGGTTGATAAAGGAGGAATATATACTTGCAGACTTTATTAAAAAGTTTTCCCCTTTTGTAACACTTTTTTCCTCTGTGTTGCAACAGGATCTGTGACTGAGTTTTCTTTAATAACCTTTTTTTTGTTGTTTTTTTTTTTGTTGTGGTGCATGTTTTCCTGCAGCTTTTGGGCTGTCTCTCCAAGACAGCACAATTTGGGAAGCAGGATTTGGCCCTGTGCTGGCTCTGGTTTGCTTTGTGCTGTGATTCCCCCTCTCCTGCCTTTGCTGGGTGAGAATTTGGGGGAATAGGGGCAATATTCAATTTTCCAAACACTGCTGGCTTTTTTCAGCTGAGTTCCCTGGTTGCACCAACACCTTCTTCCAAAATGGATTTAGTGGCTTTTATTCTTTAACATGGCCTTGCTGGAGATCCCTTTGGTGCTCTGGTTTGCTGGAGATCCCTTTTGTGCTGTGATTCCCCCTCTCCTGCCTTTGCTGGGTGAGGATTTGGGGGAATAGGGGCAATATTCAATTTTCCAAACACTGCTGGCTTTTTTCAGCTGAGTTCCCTGGTTGCACCAACACCTCCTCCCAAAATGGATTTGGTGCCTTTTATTCTTTAACATGGCCTTGCCATTTAATTATTTTTTTTGCCTA